CATGCGTTTATTTTATATTTGTATGAAAATCATGATTTTATTTTTTTAAACAATCATCCTGCAAATAGACAATATACTACCGAAAATCTTTCCATGGCTTCACATTGTTCTTCGATTAAGAAACCACAATCCTCAAATGATCAACAGCAAACTGCATGATCTGCCCACCTCTCTTGCCTCACCTATCCCATCTCCCCACTTTTGCTTTTACTACTCCAATTATTTCTGGTCTTTAGTTCTTTCATCCCCTATGACCTTTCCCATCTTTGACTCTTCATCAGGTCCTCTGCCTGGAGTTCTTTGCTCTATCTTCTGTCTCTTTACTAGGTATCTCCTAGCTATCATTTGCATGGTGTTTCTTAATCATTTCTGTCTAAGTCAGGATCCCTCATTCTGTATTGTTATTATAGCCCCGGGAAATGGCACAGCGTCACCCCTACACGTCACTTTAAACCTTAGTATACACCCCCCAACCTATCCATCCATAATCTCGAACCAACCCGATACTATGATAGAACAAAAAACTAATCCAACACATACCAAAAAACCATTAATATAATTCTACCCTTACCTCACCCCTCCCACCCCAACACCCCGCCATCCCCTCATCAAAACAATACAATAATCGAACCCCACCATCCACATGCAACCCACAGCACATAAAAACCCCCCCACCCACCCCATCTCACGAATCCCCCACCACCTTCTCAAGTCCCCTCTCCCCCATTTTACCTCCGCCAACATCCACCAGCACTCCACAACACAACTCCCATTCCACCCCTCCCCCTAATTACACACTCCTGTGCCTCCCCCCCACACCACAAAACCGCCAACTCCCATCATCTTTCACCCAAAACCACATTCCTGCCTCACCATAATATAACCCCAAATAAACTCCAAGTACCTGCAGTTGGACCACCCAGGTTTCACATCATAAAGATGCTGCAGCAGCCCGATTGTAGTGTACTAGAGTGGCAGGATGGCATATCTTGTGGGCAGAGGGGAAAAGGTACATTGAGACGCCGGGATCGTAGTCCCCACGTCAGGGCTCCCCTCCCCGCTTGGGAGCCTTCATCTTCTGGTTTCTTATCCCCTCTGCCTTTGTCGCTTCTTCTTCTGGCCTCTCTCGTCTGTCTCCTATTCTAAAGACTCCCTCCAGCCTCTCCGCTCTCCTCCCTCCCCCCCTCCCCCCCTCCTCCCTCCCTTCCGCTCCCCCCTCCCTCCCTCCCCTCCCTCCCTCGCCTCCCCCTCCCCCCCCCTCCCTCCCTCCCTCCCTCCTCCCCCTCCTCCCTCCCTCCCTCCCTCCCTCCCTCCCTCCTCCCCTCCTCCCTCCCTCCCTCCCTCCCTCCTCTCCCATACCCATCAATTTTCCCGACCCTGTCACCTTACAGTCACCCAAATAAACCGTCCTTATTTCCACAAAGAACACCCCAATAGCATCTTTCCACAACTTTACGTACTAGCAGTCATCTGCATAGGTTCCTTTGTGTGTGCATGGCAATCGTTCAAATCTTGGATCCTTGGCAATCCTTAGAGCCACTCGATATTTTTGCCTCAGTTTCTCAATTTCAGCCATTACACAGTTATACAAGGGATACACTTGGCATACAGACAGTCCATCATTGACTGTACTAAGTCAAGTTTGGCTTTAATGGAAAAGTTGATAAAGTTGGTATCAACCAGGATGTGGTAAGGTGGGCCCAGCTGTGTGTTATATTGGAAGAATAAGCAGGAAGGATGTTGGGGGACTTCTCTTTCCTTGAGTGCAGTGGGATCTTTCTTTTCTTTTTTATTAGGTTTTAATCTATCCTTCTCTTTAAGCCTCTGATCTCAGAGACTAAGCATTCGCTTCATGGTCGCATACTTTCTTGCTTTCTTTTGCCGCACTCTTGTTCTTCAGTTCTGATTGTTCTGATTGTCGGTTGTATTCTTGAAATTCAAGGAAAGTATGCAAGGGCATCTGCTTTTAAGTTAATGTGACCTTTTTATTTTTTGTTTAAAGATTTAATGATTTCTTTGACAAAGAGAAAGAAAGAGAGCACCACCAGGAGGAGGACAGAGGGAGAAGGAGAAGTAGACTCCTCCCTAAGCAGGGAGCCCAATGCAGGGCTGGACCTTGGGATCATGAGCTGAGCCAAAGGCAGACGCTTAACCAACAGAGCCACCCTGGCACCTAAGTTAATGTAACTTTCAAATGTAAAATTTGAAATACACTTTCTCCTCTAAATTCAATTGTCCTTATAAATGGCCAAAGGTGAACTTCACCCAAAACATGCACAACACAATACCTAGCTGCAAAGCCAGATTTCCACTGCCTGTCACCTTCACTCAGTTCCTCAGAAATTGGGTGTGGTTTCCTGAACTTACCTGAGGTGGGGGAAAAAGGATGGTAAGAGCAATGTGAGCCACCTCCAGGCCTTTTAGGAAGCAAGAAACTCTCCAGGGTCTCCCCAAAGGACCTGTGTTCCTGACATGGGGGCCTGCCTCTGCACGTCATGAAGCTGGTGCTGACACATCATTAGATCACTGGACATCCGTTTGGACATTTTATAAATAAACAAAACCAGAATCACAGCACAAAAAGTTTCTGCCATATTAAAAGCCTTATCCAGACTAAAGCATCTGTGATTTTGTGGATGAGTCAGATCAGATCTCCCTGCAAGTAGTTCATCTTTTGTATCCTTTCTCTTCCCATTTGGGATGGGGATAGCGTAAGTGGAGCGTGGAGATAAACTCAATCAATAAAATATAAATATATCGCATATAAGGAACTTAAAAGTATGTCTAAGGATTGATTTTCTTCTGTCCTTCTTTCAGGTACAAGTATCTGTTGACTTATGTATTGACTTTTAATTTTATAATATTGTTAATTTTCTGCATTATGAGACTTGACTTGTCACAAAAGGAAGAGGCACTATACTATGGTGCCAGTCCCCTTTATTTTAATGGCAAATTATATCTACCAACATATTTTTTAAGGAGATTGAAAAGTTGTTTCCCAAACATCATTTCTAATACTATTGTTTACTTATATTTCACATAAATACAAGTTAACTGTAATAATTGACTTATTGCCTTGTGACCTCCGGTAATATGTCCCTGATATGATGAAACGAGGCCTCCTCCTTCCTCAAACTTAAGTTATCCCAGAAGTTTTCTCCTACTCCCAGTTTCTTTGTTTTTTTATGAGTTAAAAGAAACTGAATATAGGAGATATTAGAGTTTGAAGTCCATATGTCTATAACCATCTGATACATGAGCCAAGTTATGAGAGAAAGGGATAGATGGGGAAAATTCTGAAATTCAGTCTCAGTCTCAAATCAAGGTGTCCTGTTGAGACCTAGCAAATATTGCAAACATCACCAATTATTGTGGACAAATACATCAGTCATTTAACTGAACCTTGTAGCCTGGCCACAGCACAGTGTACTAGAGACTCTTAGAAGAAATTTCTGTGTTACTTTAGGTTCATGTGGACAAATAAAAGGCTTATTTTCAATGTATTAGTTACAGGAAAGCCTAGAATCCCAGGTTGTAATTAATCTATATTTTAGATCATTATTCCAATGAAAACATATCATTTTCTACAGAATTGGAACAATATCTCTACTGTTAGAAGACTAAGAGGTGACAAGATTACAAAAAGTTCTGAGATTGATTTTTTGGAACTGGCTGAGAGAAAGTAGTTTTTTTTTCATGTAACTAGACTACATATACATGAAACTTGGGTACTGTGGGTTGGCATCTTCTACCTATCACACTTGCTCCGTTCTGCAGAGACAAAAAAAAGTTGCAGATACATCAAGTAAGGATTCTCCTGCCTGCCTTGGAGTTCTATGAAACACCTCCGTACTCTCCTAATAAATTTCATTTTTCTCATCCGGCTCACTATAATCAGATTAATGTAAACAGACTTCAAGGAGAGAAGTCATAGGTGATGAAGTAGACTAGGCCAGAACCAGGTAAGAGAAAACAGCAAATAAAGGCCAATACAGGCCAATAGCAAGGTATTATGATAAAAAAAATCACAGAAATATATGTGCCAAGTAGACCAATTGAACATTGATTCTAGACTGTTGCTCATACACTTCTGTATGGCCTGGACCAATCTACAGCTAACGAGAGACCAAGAGGGGTTGCTTGATGTCTTTTTCCCCTACTTATTCTAATCCTTCTCTCTCGGAGCACTTTTTGACCCAATCTTAAAACCACAAAAACAAAATTTGTCTTTCTAAAAAAAAGTGAAAACTGTCCTTCTTTCTCAACCAAAACAAACAAAACTACACTTTGCATCTTCTTGCCCTTGCTCAGTCAAATGGCTTCTATTATGAATGCTTTCTCAAATATTCCCTGGTTCCTCAGCCTCTCATTACTATGATAGACCATTATTGCTCCCAGACAATTCTATGTAAACAATTTTTCTCCCATCTGTTCCCTTCTCTTTATTTCCTTTCCAATAGCCCTAGCTGAGATCCTCATCCTCTCCTACTGAACAGTGTAACAGCCTCAAAACTGGTCTCCTTGTTCCTAGTTTTCCTCTTTTGAATCCATCCCTTACAATATCATTAGAATTATCTCAAAAAAAAAAAAATAGGACTGGGTCCACTATCATTTAAAGATCCTTGAGGTCTTCATGTTGCTTTAGATTAAATTTATACTTCTTAATATGGCTGTTAAAACTACTTTCAATTTTACCCCAACTTATTTTTTCCAGTTTCATCTCCTATAAAAACTCCTCCTCATGTATCATAACATTATAGTGCATAATCCCAAACACAGTACCTTTTATGCTTTGTGTTTTTTAAATGTTCCCTTTGTCTAAAATGCCTCCCATCTAAACCAACTTTCCATTCTATGCCTCATGAATTTTTTAAAATTCTCTGTGAAACTTTATCCATGGCTTTAGCTGCTACTATAGCTCATATGAGATATACTGGCTCTACACATAGAAAAAAAAAAAAGAGAGAGATATTGGCTTGTGATACCAATAGAACACTTACCACACTCTACAGAGCATTTTCTACAATCATCTCACTGGAATGTAAATCCCTGAAAGCCAGAGACAACACATTATTAATTTTCAATATCCCTAATGTCTAGAAATGTCCCTCAAATATTGAATGAATGTTTACTAAATAAAATTAAATTATTAAATACTCAACCTACAGGTTAAAAATGGTATTCTATTCCCTATGATTTATACATTGCCATGGCAATTTTTTACTTTTAAAATAACAAGCCAGCAAAGTCATTCATTCATTCATTCATTCATCCATTCAAATTACAGCCAACACATTCTAGAAAGAATAAAAATTTAGTGAAAAAAGTCTTGTTCCAAAAATAATTCTCTTTTTCAAAAGTATTAAGTGAAGGATACAAGGATGAGGGAAAAAAATCTAAAACAATAGATTTTACACCTAAATGATTTTCCACCTTGAGAAACTTTCACCAGCTCCAGTTCTGTGATTCACTGAGTTCTTCCAATTGCTTCCTATGTCCAAGTTGTCTGGAATAATATTCTCAGAGTTAGCAGTTGTATGAAGTTAGTATAGCTTTAATGTTTCTGCCAAATGTCATTACCTCATTTCTCAAACTGAGCTATGGAAATAGTTGGAATCATCTTATATAGACCTTTAATGACCTCAAATAAAGAAATAAAAAAGTAAAGGTATGATAACTACTGAAATTCTTCTATCCTTTGTGATTCAAATTATATCAATATGACTGACCAAATCTACCAACATTTGCTTAACTTGAGATGTGAGGTTATATAAAAGACAACTAAATAATTAGATATATATATATATGACCCTGATTTTGTAACTCTGTTAGCCAACTGATTCCTTCATTTTTGACCCACGAATAGTCAATTAGCCATTTAGACATAGTCAGGACGTAAGTCAGAGATCTAAAAAATGATCAAAAAATCTTACCAACATCCAATTTAAGGCAGAATGAAAGAGTTCAGAGACCATTGTCTGCCATCCTGATACCCTGCCCTTCCCCACTTCTACCCTCCTAAAACTGCATATAATTGTATGTATGTGAATCTCTGCATTTATGCTCTCATGTATATTCAACCTTCACTTTTCAAAGATCCTATAATTGTGAATTCACCTGCTTTCCAAAATTTATTTGTGAACCCCAAAATCAATATTCCTATCACTTTTGTGATAACCCATGAACATGCTCAGGCCAGTAAAATATTTAGGCTGTTCAAAGCACTAATTTTCAGCTGAGGTCAAAGACAATGCTCTCCTTTCTTGTTCACGCTAATGAAGAGATGACCAGAGGATGGAGATGGTAAGGGCAGTGCAGTGTGATGTGGGGAGTTCTGGCTCTGGAGCCAGTTGAATGGAGTTTGAATCCCAGCTCTGGCACCTGTTAGTGGGACAGCCTCAGACAAGTCACTTAACACTTCTATATCTTGGTTTCTATTTTGTAAAATGAAGAGAATGGCATCTAGAATGGGTGAGTCACTTTTAGGGTTAAAGATTATACAGTATATACAGTATGTGAACTTATAAATTTATTTGTTTTCTTGCTTGTCTTCCCTAGGAGCTAATTCAATATGTGTGCTAATTCAGTGTTTACAGCAACTTTATACAACATAACTACAACAAATATCAAGAATATACTATATCTAGACGTTGATGATGAGACTGAGGTATCACAGTGACTTAAGTTTGCACTCCAAAAGGACAGAGAGATAATTCTTACCCCAGGCTTTATGTGCATTTATTTTTACATATATTTCAATACTATTACATTGCTTGCCAATTTAGCTGTACAAATTTATGTGCTATCTTGTTTTTTATAATCAAATTCTCTATTTGCTATACAAGAGTATTATCAAATCATTCAAGCCATGTGGGACAGCTGGCTTGTGTAAACTACTTATTGACTGATGTATTTCTCTTGATTATATTACTATACAATACTTATAATAGGTTCAGATCCTTTGCAAAGGTAAAAGACAATTATCAAGAAGTGTCTTACAGAAGTTTCTGGCCACATGATATATTTTCCACTTGGCTAATTGTTGCACTTGACTTAGATATAAGCAAAAGTACAGGAATTGTTGAATTAAATCAGGGATTTGTCCACTCTGATTAAACAGAAAAACAAAAGTTTTAAATTAAAAACAAATTATGTATTGCTGACATATAAAGATCTCTTATAATTCACAATAGTATTAATAAACTAAATATACTTTAAATAGATAAAAGATTAGAATAGGCCATTTAAAATGTATAAAATGAGGGCATCTGGGCGGCCCAGTGGTTGAGTGTCTGCCTTCAACTCAGGTTGTGATTCTGAGATCCTGGGATTGAGTCCCGCATCAGGCTCCCCACAGAGAGTCTGCTTCTCCCTTTGCCTATGTCTCTGCCTCTCTCTTTGTGTCTCTCATGAATAAATAAATAAAAATCTTTAAAAATAAATTAAAATAAAATGTATAAAATGACCAATAAGCACATGAAGAGATGGTCATATCATTAGACATCAGAGAAATGCAGAACAAATAACCATAAGATATCACATTACAAACTTACTAGAATGACTGAATATATAAAAATTAACAATATAAAGTGTCAATGGGGACATGGAAAAACTGGAACTGTCATACATTGCTAATGGGAATGTAAGTGGCACAACCACTTTGGAAAAGTGTGACAGTTTCTTATAAAAAATTTAAATTTATCATATACCCAGTAATTCAACTCATGGGTAATTACCTAAGAAAAATGAAAACATATGTCCACACAAAGACTTAAGTACAAATGTTCAGAGTAGCTTTATTCATAATACTCAGAAACAGGAAAACAACCTGTGTAAATAATTGAATGAATAAACACACTGTAGCATATCCATACAAAGGAATACTAATCAATAATAAATAGTAATGAACTACTGAAACACACAACATAGATGAATCTTAAAACTATGACAAGCACTCATAAAGAGTACTTAGTGTATAACTGTATTTATGAAATTCTAGAAAGGACAAATCAAATCTATGACAATAGAAAGCAAATCAGTGTTTCCCAGAGGCTGAGGGGGAGGGGCAAGGAATGTAAAACAGTATCATGAGGGAAATTTGGGGCTTATGGAAATGTCCTCGAACTTGATTGTGGCAGTGGTTCGATGGCCACAGACATATATCAAAACTCACCGAAGATATATTTTACTTTATGCAAATTATACCCCAATAAAAGTAATTAAAAATTCTCTATTACTACAAATTCTCACTGTGAGAGAATTAAGAGAAAAGAAAGAGCTAGAGGACAGAGAGAAGAGAAAAATGGAATAATCTGTGGAGGAAGAAAGTAGATAGAGACAGAAGATTAGGATGAGGTTTACAAAGTTTTCATAATTTTCAAGGGCCTTTAGCAGGAGTATTAAACATAAAAGTAACATGTTGTAATAAGCAATGACTCTCATCTGCTTTTAAATGCTATGCCTTTGGGCTAAACTAATAAATTTTGTACAGTTTTTTTTTTCATAGAAATAGTCTAATGCCAATATTCATTAACTGAATCAATAAATATATGCTTGTATGCACCATATTGCAAGCATTAAACTAGATTCTAAGAATTTGATGATGATTAAAACATTGATTCTTCACTGAAAGTGTGCTCAACTGAGATAGAGGAAGTTACACACAGAGATAATTACAATAAATATGATAACCATGGAGATATGGCCTTAATCATTTATGTACACCAAAATCACCTGGGCATAAGATTCTATGGAAGAACCCAGGATTACCCAAACCAGCCTAGGACTATTTGGAATGTGTTGCTTGAGCTGGCTAAAGAAGGATGAATAGGAGTTACCAGACAGAAAAAGGCAAGTGGAGTGTTAGGTTCTCAAAAAGGTGAGAACTATATAAGTAGTTTAGTTAAAGTAACTTAAAAGACAGAGGTGGGGACTTCAAAATCAGATAATAGAGTTTTTTTTAAAGATTTTATTTATTTATTTATTTATTTTTTTATTTATTTATTTATTTAGAGAGCATGAGGGGGTGGAAGTGGAGGGAGGGGCAAAGAGAGGAGGAACGGCAGAGGGAGAGGGTGGGAGAGGGTCAAGCAGACTCCCTGCTGAGTGCAAGCCCAGCCACAGGGCTCAATCTCAGGACTCTGAGATCATGACCTGAGCTGAAGGCAGATACTTAACTGACTGAGCCACTCAGGCACCCCAGATAACAGAGAGTTTTAAATTAATTCATTAGGGTGATATTCTGAGACGATATTCAGAAAGACTAGCTGGTTATCACAGGGCCAGCTGCCCAGTTTGTCTATCACTAGTGATTTCTCTGGTCTTACCCCTTGTCTGTAAACCAAGATGAAGTCATGTGGTAGGTATCCATAGAAACACCCTCAGACTCATAACAGCTCAGTTCACAGACTTACACTGGACTACTTCACTAGACCTTGCCTCCTGTTCCATTTCTGACCTAGATTCTCATCATTTTGCTCAAAATTCTGTTCTGGACCACAGTATTGTCCTCTAGTTTAATCATAAATATAGGTAGTTTAGTCATCTCCTTTGAACAAAGTTTGTCCCCAGCCTTTGTCCTCTCTTACTCTTGGTAGTTTCTGAGGTCAGTGTGATGACCCTACAGATCTGTATCACCGACCCTTGAGGGAGGTTTGGACATCAAGGGGACTATAACTAGAACATCATTTAAATTTGAACATGTAAAGCACTGGAGACACACAAAGCCTTTATTTTTGCTGGTCACTGTGTTCTATCTAGTAAGCTATTGAGTCTCTTAAGTATTTAAGAGGAATTCTGCACATATCTCACTTGGAAGGCATTTATTTTGGCTAAGTTCAATCATAAATAATTTAAAACACAGACTGAATGTTATAATTCTTTGAACTGCCTAGAAAAAAGTATCAATCTGAATGAGAGATGTGGCAAAAAATACACATGAGATAGATGCTTTGCAGGTTCTTCTTAGTCAATGTAATGTTGACTTATAGTTTGTTTGAAGGACTGATGGAAGGTATTTTTTTCTTTCTTTCAATCTTTTTAGTGTGTGC